TCAGGTGGACTGTGCTCATTTGTCACCCTTATTCTATATAAAAAAGAGCGAAGGCTATATACACCGATTTATTGATATTTCGATAAAACTGGCGCCATTCTCAACGCGTGCGTCCAGCAAGACGTACACTCTCATACTGAACGGCAGACATGTGTTTAGAGACAGTTCAGATATTGCCCCGATCGCTGTACTACCTAGATTGCCACTGCGGCAGGCATGTCAGTAGCCCCCTTAAGGTATACAGGATGACATGATGTTAAGTCGACCTACGACCTAGATCCGTTAAGGGGTTGTAGTGTACACCATTTATGACTGATTTGACTATCAAACACCATGCCCAAAACTGAACCGTTTTTTAATACATGACTTTAAAGTTTCTTCATAAAACTAGACGAATTTTTTGTCTATTTATTTTGTAATTACTGCTTCTAATTTAATTGATTTTTCAATTTATGTATAGTAAACAAGTTGTTTTATTATTCTCAATACTAACATTGCAAGTAATTAAACGAATTGCGTCGTACTCGTAGATTGAAGGTTAGAAAAAGGAACAAATTCGTAAAAAGTATATTTCTTTCAGGAATATTAAAAAAGTTTATGGTAGGTATGCTACAGATATACTTATAAATATATAGGTTTATCTAGGATACTATAATACTAAAATTAGTTAAAAATTTATACTAAATAATGAACCTGAAATAAACGTTAGAAATAATTAAAACAATATCTTTTGATGTTTTTATACAAGTCGGAGTGACAAATACGTGCACACAGTTCATCTGAAAAATGTAGGCAGTGGTCCATAGGAAAATATTTTTTTCTGCAATTAAGAATCAAGAATTAGATACGTTGTACACTGAGAGCTAAAATGAAATGACAAGTTAATTGTAAAAATAGTCTCCATTTTTCGTCAAGAAAAAGTATGTTAAGCTGCTAGGCACGTTTACTCGTCACTTATCATACGAAAGAAATCACATAATGCTGCTATTTTATGCTGATATTTCGTGCGAGCCTGTTTCTTCCTTAGTCGAACCGACTTATTCACGATGCAGCTATAACATGGCTCAGCGTGGCTCTTCCACATATAAAAATGAAATAATGCATAAAGGTTATTGCATGGAAAGACCTATTAATTACTAATACTTTCCCGAAGCATTCTTTTCCGATACTTACATTAAAACCAAAGGCATAGGTAAAGTACTGTAGGTAGTTTTGGCCCGAAAAGTAATACGAACTAAACAAATGCCTTTATATACATGTGTGTGTGTGTGTGTGTGTGTGTGTGTGTGTGTGTGTGTGTGTGTGTGTGTGTGTGTGTGTGTGTGTGTAAACACCGGAGGAGTGGAGCAGAAGTACAGTGGTCTTGTTCTTCAAAAAAGGTGACAACGCTCTCTTGAAGAACTACAGACCGATTTCCCTTCTGAGTCGCGTCTACGTGCTGTTTTCGAGAGTCATTATGAATCGTCTCGCGCGCAGAATTGACGACTTCCAGCCTCCCGAACAAGCCGGTTCCCGAAAGGGCTTTAGCACCATAGACCACATACATACCCTTTGGCAAATTGTACAGAAGTCCGAGGGGTACAATTTGCCACTATGTCTGGCGTATGTGGACTATGAGAAAGTCTTTGATTCCGTCGAAATTTAGGCGGTGCTGCAGTCCCTTCAGCGATGCCAAGTTGACTATCGGTATATCGATGTGCTGAAGCGCTTGTACAGTAGAGTTACGATGGCTATCTGAGTACAGAACCAGAGTACGAAACCTATCCAACTGCAGAGAGGTGTAAGACAGGGTGAAGTGATGTCCCCGAAACTCTTCACCGCTGCATTGGAAGACGTTTTCAAGCTTCTGGACTGGAAAGGATACGGTATCAACATCAATGGCGAGTACATCACTCACCTTCGATTTGTCGACGATATAGTCATTATGGCAGAATCGTTGGAGGACCTAAGCACTATGCTCAATGACCTCAATAGTGTTGCCCAACGGATAGGTCTTAAGATGACCATGGACAAAACAAAGATCATGTTTAATGTCCATGTCACACCTATGCCGGTAGTTGTAGGGAGCACTAAGCTCGAAGTTGTTGACGAGTATCTTTACCTGGGACAAATAGACCGACTAGGTAAGTCCAACTTCGACCGAGAGGTCAATCGACGAATTCGACTCGGTTGAGCAGCGTTCGGGAAATTACGGCACATCTTCTCGTCAGGTATACCTCAAAACTTGAAAACAAGACTGTACTACCAGTGCGTGTTGCCAGTGATGACCTATGGTACTGAGACGTGGTCATTCAGTGCTGGCCGGATGAGGAAGCTCAAGGTCTCTCAGCGAGCTATGGAGAGGGCTATGCTTGGAGTTTATCTGCGTGATAAACTTAGAAATGAGGATATCCGCAATAGAACCAGAGTGGCCGACATAGCCCAACGGGTTAACGGAATACACATGTCCCGAATGAGATTTAGTGTTGAATAATCTAATAAGATAAGTAAAACCTGGTTTAAAAAGTTGTCGTAGTATTCTCCATTTAAATTGTCAGGGAGAAAGTAAGGCAGAATCAAATGGTTTGATATTATGCCCACCTATACTTAATCTTCTTTGTGATCCCTTTGTGCCTTTCTTATTGGGATTTCCATGTTCTTTCGAGGCCCAATAATGAACGTCGTGGTAATTGGATATACGGTCTTTATTGAATTTCGATTCATCTGTCCAATAGATGTTTCTTAGAAATGATGGGTCTTCTAAATCTGCATTGAGCATGACTCTGCAGAAATCCAACCTCCTCACAATAACGTGTAACAGCGCGTACTGATAGGGGTAAAGACTGGCAGTATTCACGGAAAACCACACCTTCAATTGCGAGGGTCCAAGTTCTCGGGAAACGATATTTGTGGAAGTAGTTAGATCCAATCTAAATCGTCGAACTATTTCATTGTCTAGCTCTTCGTTATCATCATTGATGCGTGGTCTATCCAGGTCGGCTCGACGCCTTTAAACAGAGCCAGTCTCTCTAAGTCGTCGATAAACCCTGTCAAACATACTAACATCCGGCACTCGGCGGTTGGAATAACGTGCTATGTATTCATCACGAGCTCGTGCGGATACACAATTGTAGTACCCGTAACAAATCAAAATATCTGTATATTCCTCGTTCGTAAAGGTCACCATCTTCAACAGTTCAAAATCAGAAGTATTATCAAAAATCCAGGTACAGTCGCAAATCGAAAGAAGAACAGTCCAAAAATACAAGCCAAATCGAGTTCATCTCAGTGCGCACGGACGAATCGCGTAAGCATACATACCAAACAATATAAAAATAAAATGGCGTTTAAAGTGAATTTTTTATCTCGCTCATATCGTATGATGTCCCGCTCGCCCGTATTCCCACGAAGGACAATATACGCGACAAAGAACATAACGAAGCATCGTTATTTTATACTACTACTACCTGGGAGATTTTCATCTAAGTTATTTTCTATTAATCATAATAATACCCATAAGTGTTATACCTTTTTGGATAGCTGAAGAAATGTAGATATTTATAATTACATCTGCAGCTTACCTACCCCAGACTTATTGAAATATTCCTGAAAGAAAAAAATAACTTATTACGAATTTATTCCTTTTTCTAACCTTCAATCTACGAGTACGACCCCATTTGTTTAGTTACTTGCAATGTTGGTATTGAGAATGACAAAACAACTTATCTACTATACAAAGATTGAAAATTCAAATAAATTAAGAGGCCAAATTACAAAATAAATGGACAATAGACAAAAAATTTTGTCTATTTTATTATTAAACTTTAAATTCCTGTATTAAAAAAAATGGTTCAGTTTGGGGTATGGTGTTTGATAGTCAAATCAGTCAGAAATGATGCATACTACAACCCCTTAACAGATCTAGGGTGACTTAACGTGTAACCCTGTATATACAGGTCGGTATGTAATAGGGGGTTTAGACTCTCTCCTCGCGCCTCGCCTCGTACCTCGCCTCGCAGCTTGCGTGTTGTTGCGAGGTATCGAGTGCCTGTTTTCACTCTCGCGATGCGTTAGCGTTGAAATAATAGCGGCATCAACTCTTGCCTTAATAAGTATTTATCGATGCTTGACCATTTTAAAAAGAAGGAATTTAAAAAAATACCTCGTTGAGGAAAAATATGGTGGACAGAACCTTTTCAGTTTCATAATTTTATATAAATTGCTATTATCTATTGTACAAGATTAAACAATGTTATTTTATTAAAATTGTAATTATAAAACAAAAGCAATTCGAAAGTTATTATGGAAGGGCGCCGTAAACAAACTAAAACGAGAGCGCGAGTGTAAACACCACGCTCGCGAGGCCCTTTGCCCTCGTGCCCAAAAAACCGCCTCAGACGCGAGCCACGCGTTAGCGTTTACACTCGCACCTCGTGGCTTGCCTTGCCGCTCGCGCGAGAGTGTAAACCGGGGTAAGGGTTGATCACTTTTTTTTAATAACTGGATTTACGGCTCTGGGTTCAAGCCTTCTGAACCTGAAGTTACAATGTATAATTTATCCTTCATAGTACACTGATTCACAATATATTAATGCGTCACGTTGTGCAACCCTTGGGAGATTTTGACAGCAATTTGAGCCAGCAGACAGCTGACAGTTGGCGATGGTAACACAAGGCGTCTAAGCGGACAGGCACCTTATCTTGAGAATCACATCACCATCAGAGCACTTGTTTTACCGTTTCCACTAATAGTTCACATGCGCAGACATTTAATACACAAAATCGCACCACTTTTATATATCAAAATCCACTTCAAACCGTTATTTAAACAATAATACCGGAGCAGCAATCCGTCGCCGGTCAAGTTCCCGCCAAAACCGGTTGCTCACCATTGTTCACAGACACAGAGTACATTTACAGACAAATTAATAAGCCTACTGTTGTTCAAGTTCCAGTTACTATACTCTTTGTCAAGTTCCTTGTCTGTTTGTCAATGATTGGGACACGTCAATATGTAGCGTCATTACGCAAAAAGTCACAAATGAAAATGAAGCTTGGAGTTCAATAAACTTGTTTTCTTAATACCTAGTGTAAAGGTTTATTTAGTGATATAAATCAAATAAATTTCAATACAGGTGAGTGAATAACTAAAGTTTATATTATATCAAAACGTAATCGACTATATTCTACTATACTATATTACGCTTAAATACAAAACTATATTTTGTTATGAATATCAATGCATTGGTAATAATAAATCCCGATCCGATGTATCAAAAATATGACCAACTAGTATAGTAATATGTATGACATTAAACTATTTGTAGGTATTTGATTTTTAATGTAATTAATGTTTCAAATAGCGTATTCGATAGCTACTTACTACTGTTTTACTTGTGCATAAAAAAAATCGCAAAATAAGCAGTACCATTTTTATGGAATTACTTTCATTTATTATAGGTCATTATGAAGCTGAAAACAAGTATAATCTGTCTACTGGTGTTTCTCCATTGTTCCTATGCACCTCCTGTGTCTCAAGATAAAGATAAATCTAAGGAGCAAGACAGTGAAATAAAAGATGATTTGGTAATTATTCTATGTACTACATTTAAGTCGGCCACATACATACGGAATTCCGAACGCAGCAAGTCTGTATAAAATCAAGGACCCGCCACACACATAGAATTTTCTCATCGTTGAGGTTCCGTGTGACCGCCTGTGCATTCGGAATCCCGAATGATGCAGCTCCAAACGCAACTCTTCCATAGATTTTGAATGAGTCACAACACACATTTGTAAATTCCATATGAAACATGCTCAGTGTTTGTCGCACAACTGAAGCGAGTAGGTGTGTTTTTACTTATATTGTGTATAACTTTTCATAACCTTTCATCTTGTTTAATAATTCATCAAAAGAGTTTACAGACATCCATATTAAAAAAATATCTCTGAATAGATAGAACTTTTTACATAATATTGAAAATATTGCAAGTTTTGGGCGATAAGGGGATGCACCCAATAACAATGATACAGCAACAATGTAATTGCAATCAGAAAATTGTCATTATTTGCTGACAGAATGACTAGACTCAATGGCTCACATCTCTCATATGACCCTTGTTATTCCAAATGGAAATAAATGTATATGTGTGATGTATACACGGAACCCCGAAACGAAATTCCATATATATGTGGCTGGACACACAGTATAGTAATATATCTTGTTTCATTTTTTTACAGTTTATTTTTTTAATATTTATCTTCCTTATAAGTCTATTTTGTGGTTACTAGCATTTGTTATATAATCAAATTACATTTATTTAAGTTATCATTTTGCTGTGCATTCTTAATATTTTTGTTGTTTTAAAATCCTATTTAAAGCAAATAAAAAATGTGAAGATTGTTAATTCATATAAGTCTCTGTGACATTTAAAATGTAAGTACATAAAGAAGTTTACCTTCATAGGCTGATATTTCATTTTTAGTATGCCCTTTTTAACAATCCTGAGCCATGCGAATGTTAATTTGAAACACTTACTGCCGTATTTTATTAAAGTATATTTGTACGTAGTTATGCAAAAAGGTTCCAACCCACGACAAGTTAATCAAGTATCCATACTTCAAATATCATAAACTCAAGTTGTCGGTATGGTTTCTGTCTGTTTGTAATTTTTCTTCTTATTTGTGTTACTTTTGCTAAAATTGTTACATCACATAATAGTATAGACCACAAACATTATTTTTCAAGTCAACATTTTTGATACGGATTCGAGTTGGATCCTTTTTGCATAACCACGTCCATTTGATATGGTTACTGCACATTACACATATTTTCAATGCAAGACATTTGTTTTTTTTTTTTAACATCAACAAAGGAGCATTATAGTTTTATTTTTGCTATAGTAACTGTTGTCATGTTATTTCTATTTATAAATAAAATTGGTTATTTAATTTAATCTTTATATATAAAAATTATGTGTCAGATTGTTTTTCCGCGATGAACCCCTAAACTATTGAACTGATTTCAATGAAATTTTGCACACTGTGTTCAGTTTGGTCCAACTTGAGAGATAGGATACTTTTAATCCCAATAAATGACCTTCAATATTTTTTTATGGGAAGGGTAGAAAAACGTCTGCTGGCCAGCTAGTATTTAATAAATCTTTGCTTACTGAAGTATGAAGCAGTGTACTGTTGGACATAGGCCTATTTTTTACCACCAACCAACTTGTATAGTTGGTTGGTAGTAACTTAATGAAGTTACTACCTATCGCCATTCACTTTTTCTTTCTTCTTTCTTTATCTTTCTATATTATATTCTGTACACCCCTTCCGCTATCTTTTAAAAATAGTATCCTCTGCCCTAAGGTTGCCTGGAAGAGATAGCTGTTTTAGCGATAAGGCCGCCTGTTGTACCAATGTCCCTTTAAATATATAAATACTGTAATATGTTCCTTGGTGTACAATAGAGTATATTTTACTTTACTTTACTTCTCTTTCTCTAGTCGAGGGGAGTCCCAAAATAATATTGTTTACTCTTATAACAGTCTCCATTTTTTGTCACATCTAATCCAAGAGCTGTCACTTTTGTGACAAATGTTACAATGTATTATTTCACATAAGCAGTTATAGTAAATGATGGATGACAATTATTATAATAATATTTTTTGTTCATCTAATAGATCATAGCTCAAAAGCTTCTTGATTTAACAATGTATGTTTCATTATATTTTTGTGTGTATTTTTATCTTTTACAAAGCTGATTTTAGTAGGGGAAAAGTTTCTTCGTATTTTATATACAAATTCAAGCCATTTTTTGTAAAAGTTTAGTTACATTTAATGTATGTGCCATTTTGTTCGATGATTTGTTGCCATCTTGTAGGTAGTGACATAATACCGTTACTGTAGAAATCTTGGGATTTTTGGTCAAAAAAATGTGACAAGTACTTTTAACAGACCTCTTTTGAAGTTAACCTAACACTACCCAAAGAATTCTGAATAGACCGAAATATGTAAAAATCTGAGGGTGCAAGGTCAGGGTTATATGGTAGATGCAATAACACTTTCCAACCAACCTCACAATTTTTGCTGTGTGACCAAAGATGTGTGTGGTCTGGCATTATCGTGATGAAAGACCACTCCTTTCCTGTAGATCAATCCCAGCCGTTTTCCAATAATTATTGCCAATAAGAAAATTAATGTAAGTACGCACTTAATCTATGTGATTTGATGGTTATTTCAGTTAAGTATGTAACTTAATTATATTCTTACCTAAAACAGTAACTGTCGTAAATGAAAATACAACTACCATGTTATTCATCTTACTACCTGCCCTGCCTGCCCACACACGCGCCTTCGCCATCACAGATGTTATAGTTTTTGTTCTGAAATTCCGTTCTATTAGTATGCATATAAGTATTTGCTCTTATTATAATAATTTTGGCATCACAAAATGCAATAGCTAAAACTTCTTCCATGGCTCCTTCTGCTTCTAGCTTTGAATTTTTTCGATTTTGATGAGGATGCTAGTTTTGAAACTTCATGGTTACAAACTAAAACAAAAATTACCCTGGTAGTTTTTGAAATTTTATCTGGAAATGTCAATTTGCTTCTTATTTTTCTTATCAGTTAACAGACTGCTTTCCCGAATTTTTTCAATTTTTACATATTGCAATAATATATTTGATGTAATTTTTAAAAGTAAAAATATTATGAGTTACGTCTCATCATTTTTGACCTAGTTGCTCCAGTTATATTGCGAATGGAATGCCTATTGACTTAACCAGTTCAATATTTAGGCATATTTTGTTAAATAAAACTTTATAGAGAGGCATTAATTTCACTTATAACTAATAGTACTTGTAAAGTTACCTTTGCATGTCAATTGTTAACAGTATAAGTTATGTATATTTTAGGAGGAGTACATGGAATATCACAGATACCTAAAAGAGGTAGTGCAAGCTTTAGAGAGCGATCCTGATTTCAGGGAACGTTTGGAGAAGGCAGATGAAGAAGATGTTCGAGTAAGTATTAGTTTATAAAGATAACATTTTACATTTAAAATTAACATTTGAATCACATTAGATAACATATAATAGGATCAAAATGATAACAAAATTTAACTGCTGAAGATATAATGGGTGTTGGGGAAAACAGTAGTCAAGTAACCCACTCCTTACTGTCATTATCGGACTGCAACAGTCTTCTGATGAAAATAGGCCTCATCACATTGAAAAAAAGATTTATTATAATTTGTACAGCTTGCATGTAGGTTGCTGATTGTAGTACCAGAACGGATCTTTAACCTCCGTAAATGTTATTGTTTAACACTATTCTATTGAAGGTCATAGTATCTCACTGGTAATCCCATAGCCTTAAGACACCCACGACACCGAATAGAGTGATGTTTTCTCTTGCACTGCTACCAAATAATCAAACTTGCTATATATCTTAGAAATTTTGAAAATATTATTCCTTTAGCTACTTCTTCCCCATTTTGGCAGGAGCTCTTTAAGCCTAGACATTAACCCCGAAATGGAATATTACTACATTGATTTTGGGAAATACATTGAGAATTTAAAATTATAAAGTTTTTCCACACACAAAGGAATGTTGTAGAACTTTCTTTCTTATTTTCTGAATTTTACTTAACTAGTTGGTTACCTTGGTTATCATAAACTTTTTAGAAGAGTGATTCATGATACTGGTCTGTCTAAGAATCTATTTTTTATTTTTAATTCACATGCTATTAATAGAGTAGTTCATTCAAATAAACCTAAAGCACCAAGAAAATACAAACCACTATTACAGTAAGATGTTTCAGGGCTGTATTTTATTTTATAAATTGATTTAAGGTAATTCCTGACACATATGCGGTCAAACTTAGTCTTTACTAATTTTCAGTCAGGAAAAATAGCAGAACAATTGGACTTTGTGAATCACAACATCAGAACTAAATTAGATGAAATAAAGAGACGCGAATTGGACAGGCTTCGGCATCTGGCGACAAAAGTAAGTTTTATATTTTTATCAACCTTTCTTCTTATAAATAATTTTTCTGTTTTAATTATTACAGAGAAGTTAACGAAATTTTGTGTACATATTTTTTATTTTACTTTTATAGTTATGACTTTGCACTTGACTATTTGAATAAAAATATTCATAAAAATAATCACCTGTTGTATCTAAAAATAATATGTTTTAAATAAGTAATTATCAAGAGTAGTAACTCCCCTTATTTAATGCTGCATCTCTATCATCCTAATGATACTGTTGACTTTTTTCGTTTTTAGCAATTTGAATTAACCAATGACCTGGAAATTAATACTGGGAAGATTCCATCAAATGAACATTTAGACCATGGTAATCCCCATACCTTCGAGATTGAGGACCTTAAGAAATTGATTAAAAAAACTACTGCTGACTTAGAGGCAGCGGACAAGCAGAGAAAGAAGCAGTTTAAAGTGAGTGCCATTTATCCATCAAAATCATAAGGCTAATATGACAAGTTATATTTTTGCCTATAATTTTTAATGTACTAAAATGAAAATGAGATATCAAGCAAAATTAAACTTTTATGGCCAAATACTCAAAAACTACTCAATTTTAAGGTGTTGTTAAGTCTTGTGGTGTCGCAGTCACTTTGACTTAAAGTGATAGAGACAGCATGAGGCTTAACGGCAATTTTAAGAAATTGAGCAGCATTTGAGTATTTAGGCATGTAAGGAGTAAAAACTGACTTCAAACAACTAAAAATTCTATTTTTATTTGAAACTGGTTGATTAAGACCGTAGTAAAGGATTATTTACATATTATGTTGTGGCGATACCTTTGCATGTTCAAGAATTTGACAATTTTATCACGATCCCATCATCAGATCTTTACCAAATCTTTATGGCACCATCCTAGAGGTACACTCTTTCTAAAGAAACTTAAAAGGAAAGGACTTAGGTGGAATGTCTCATAGCTGGTGATTACACATAACGTAGTAGTCGTGATTTTCCTACCAGCGTTGCTAGATTTTTATTCGGCAAAGCAGGATTTCAAATCCTCAAATTAAAAACTAAACTGAGTATTTTACTATCGTAATGTTATTATTAAGCAGACTAATTGGCGTTCGGCCAGGTGAATCGACCGCGCCACCGCCGTACTGTCGGGAATTCCCTGAAATCGAGTCCACACTTGTCTTGCGTGTGACATTTTTAATTTCACGCTAAATTCATGACGGGGACATCTGGTAAGTCAATTGCTCTGCCATCTATTAAACTATATGAAATTTAAAATCTTGCTTATTTTCAGGAATATGAAATGCAAAAAGAATTTGAGAAACATCAAAAAATGGAGGCTATGGATGAAGCACAAAAGAAGGAGTACATGGAAAAACTGAAGCAGGAAGAGGATGCTAAGAAACATCACCAACCAGTGAGTGAAGGTTTATTTATATTGTTTGATACTAAAAAAGTTAAGAATTCCACTAATTAGAATTTCTTCTGTATATTATATTTATAGGCTATACATATAATTGTTCCTTGCGAGGTTCGATCTTTTGGCTCGCAGCACCAAGCACCAACTGTTTTGTCACAAAATATTGTGTTTGTATTAATTACATAAGTTTTTTTTTACTGTTTAACATACTACGTGACCAAAGGAATTAGGCGCATGACAGCTAAGACGTCATTAGAACTAGGGAGGGAACACGGAACGGTGATAAGGCACTATGAGAAGCGCGAGGATAGAGGCGGGATGGGGGCGCCTAAACTACATTTCTGTATTTCGTCTAATTGTTCGTACCATGTACCAAGTTGTACATACTAGATTTTACACGGTGATCACGTGGCTTAGTCTTCAATGACGCAGTCACGTATACCCAGTTAAAGGCAAGATTTGTACAAAAGCCATTTTTAATAGGGTGTGCTTAATTGATTACTTTCTATAGTATTCACAAGTTGTTACTGTGAACGAATTCGTACAAATTAACGTTATCCCCATTTGTCCTGATAAACTTCCCACTGTTGGCCAATGCACTCCCATAGTAGGTAGAATTCCCGCTCCTGCGATGCCTCCCGTTGCCAGTCTGTGGGTTTTATAGCTGCTAAAATAAGTTCTAGTTCTGGGTCTTACCGTTTTTCGTAATTTTAACGAGATGGTGTGATGTTTTCTGTTATGTCTCCATCAAATAACCTGTTATAAGAACTTTTGCATACTCATTTTAATTACGCTGTGTGTTATGTATGTATAAGTATATATATATTTGTATGGAATTCAGTATGAGTCAGTGTACCTACGCGTTGAGAAATTATGCTTAAATTTCCTAGAATTGTTTTCGAATCTGCACACTTATCAATGCGTGACTTTGCTGATTTGACTTTGTTATCGCTAATGGTTACAAGGAAAAACACTGATTGATATAAGGAAACTGAAAATAATAATTAAAAATTAATTAAAAGATGAATATGTATTTAAACATATGTTATAAGTAATGAGAATTGGTGAATATTTAGTATAACACTATCAGTACCTAGTAGTAGTAGTATGAACCTATTAACAAACTCCTTAAAATTATACTTAGTGCAATATTTTTTGTGTCGTAACACTAATTATATAAGGTTAGTTTAGATAAGGTGATCAATAAACAACTATCACTATACTTTGATAATATTGTATAATAGTTTTCACAGTTTATTATTATCGGGGTATTTATATAGTTTTCTCATCTAGTTGGGCGACATAAATATTTATGTGAAAATGATACATAATATACTTACATAAATTTATTATCAATAAATAGGCCTTTTAAGTTCAATGTTACTAAATTTAGATTGAGTAAAACTGTTTTAACTGTTCAAAAAAGTCTTTTCTGGTTAAATGCATAAAATTTACAATAAAAAATCCAAAAACACTGCAATAATCTATACTAATCTATACTAATATAATAAAGCGGAAGAGTTTTTTTTTTGTTTTTTTGTTTGTTTAAACGCGCTAATCTCTGGAACTACCAGTCCGATTTGAAAAATTATTTTTGTATATTAAGGCCAGATTCACGTGGAATAGTATACGCTATCTAGCATTAAGCTATATTACTCAGCTAGCCTTAAATATGGATATTTGTTAAGCAAGTCAGAAGAAAAAGCACTCCTGAAATTATTTATCCGCGTACGCTGGTGTTATCGTTAGGGATACGTAAATACAATGTTGTAGAAAAATATAGACCTTTACTCCGTCTAAAAAAAAGTCCGCGATACCATATGTCTATTTCTTATACATAAGCCATAATTTGGTATTTTGTGTCAAAAAAATATTAAAAATTTAAAAGTGATTTATGAGCGTTATTATTACGCATGGCCTATTTATCCTTACGAACGAAAGTTACTTCATCATCAAGACAATTTTATGAAGATAAACTTTGTTCTTTATACCATGTTATTTGGACGCATAGTTTAAGAGATAATGTAAAATTAAAATAATTAAATACTTGGCTGGGCGCGCGAACGACGCTTAAACCCTAGCCGTTATAAAATGCTTGAACTAGGTCATGTCGCGCACCTCGGACACGTGATGACGCGGGTGAAACCGCGGGGCACAACTAGTCATACATAAAATTTAAAAGGCTTATCAAAGAAACTTTGTTAAGAAGCCATTTATAGGTAGGCTTCTTGAGGGCAATAATATTGCGAGGATATAAATCTGGCTACTGATATATTGTTAAACTTGACAATATAAATAGATATCTGACATTTTATAGCGTTTTTGCTTTGTTGCTTATTGTGTGTTTCCCGTAACAACAATAAGTATTAACTGGAAACTGGTCTATTTAATGTAGGTACATATTAATTTGTTCGAATGACATCATTATAGTAAAAGCCTATCAAAAGTCCGCTGCTGAACATAGGCACCCCCCATAGATTGCTATAAAGGGGTGTGGGGGTGGGATATTATCCTTAGTTGCCATGCTTGGCAGCCGCTTTGGCAACCGCAGTTTTATTACTTTTTAGGTGTTTTTAGAAGTCGCTGCTGCCCATTTCCTTGTTAATTTTCCTGTCCTGTGCCTCTTACGGCACCCACAGAACGATATGGGGTAGTAAATATTCTCACACAGCTAGTACATTCAATTCGATTGCGACAGTATACTTGTTTTTTGATCCAATTTACTCAACCTACCGACTGAAGGCCAGAGCACACCTAATACGTGCGATTGGAATGCACGACAGGTATGCGTTGCGGCACTAGTTGTATGAAAATGTAAAAAGATCTCATATCGTCACGTACACGCACTGCACTCAAAAGTGACATCTATTCAAATAAATAAAATTGAGGTGTATGTTTGTAAAGTCAAAATAACAGCCTTTTATTAATCTCCGAAACGGCTGGACCGATTTCGACGGGACTTTCACTGGTAGATAGCTGAAGTTATAAGGAGTAACTTAAGCTACTTATATTTTAGAAAAATAATTAGGGTTGCGCGCAACATAATTAAAACCCGAAATTACACGCGGGCGAAGTTGCGGGGAACAGCTAGTTGCATATAAAAGTATATACAGTACATATAACAGAAACACAATTTTTAAAATTTTTATCTGTCTGTCTGTTCCGGCTAATCTCCGAAACGACTGGACGAATTTTGACGGGACTTTCACTGGTAGATAGCTCATGTTATAAGGAGTAACTTAGGCTACTTATATTTTTGAAAAATAATTAGGGTTTCGCGCAACAAAATAAAATCCTAAATTATACGCGGGCGAAGTCGCGAGGAACAGTTAGTTCTTTATATAATTAACAATAATACAAACAAGTGTCAAATAACTTCACGCCCGCACACGGTGTTTTCCGGCATTTAGATAACAAACCTCTTTTTATATATTATAACATTGTAAACAGTGAAATTACTAGTAAGCATAAGAAAAAGTCCATAAAGCATGAATTCAAATAATTATAATGTAATCGTAGTGTCTGTTAGTTGGAATATTTTTCGTAAAAACAACACTGTTATGTTACTAAACAATTTTTGCTGGCGTGTTCCGTTAACTGCACGGCAATAGTTTTAGAAATCTTACTTTTATGTGTCTTGCACGTATATACAGCTATTATGTAAACACAGCTCCATCATCCCGGTTCTAAACAACAATTGGAGGAAGTATGGGAAAAGCAGGACAATATGGACCAACAGTTTGACCCCAAAGCGTTCTTCATGATGCATGGTGAGTGATGTCGTTGGAAATTTTAACATTTTTTTTTATTATTTGTGACAGCTACACCATCCTGTGACCAGAGAACAGTTGTTAGACATATGGAAAAACGCCGACAATATGGATACAAAAGATTTCAACCCAAAGGTGTTTTTCATGGTGCATGGTAAGATCCAAGCGTGCAAGTTGTTATGTAGGTAGATAATATTTTTTTGTCAGTAAATTTAATTCAATTTTGCATTTGAGTTTGTTCTAGAGTGGCAAATTAGTGTTCTCGTGTATGATACTCTTTCTTCTTTATTTTTTTTTCGTTTTTTTTAGTTCTTTGAAATCTGCTTTGAATTTTGTTAAAAGTTATTTTTACCCTTTTGAGTGGATTAAAGAATATCACAATCTCAATGTCGTCAAAATATTTTTTAATTATTAATAGTTACATTAAAAACTTCATTCCCTATTTTGCCACCTTGATTAGACCACCCCTGAAGTAGAACCTGTTTAATAAAAAATCACCTTCAAAGTCGGGTCTTAATTGGCGAAGATATCGCGTAATATATATCCAATAATAAACATGCAGTGTAATCGTACAGCTCATATTTTTTTGAAGTTCGCTAAAAAATTGAGTTTTGTTGCAACTTTCAAATAACATTTTAGATTTACAAATAATATAAAAGTTAGATTAAGCTTATTCGAGAAGACCATTTTGCCCGTTAGATGTTTGTGTTACTCGCACGCTGTTTGGATTTTACGGATTGCCTTTATTGTTGTCGACTTTGTTGTATTTTTATGTTTGGAGCATGATGATGTTTGTTTAAATTTGTTCCTGTTTGCATGGTAGTGTTGTTTTGTATGCATTATTCGCCTTATTTTATGATCGAAAATTTTAAAGCTTCATTGCCTTTTGTTTGTTTCCTTTATTTAAAGCATCATTTTGCTATTGTTTTTTTAATTTAAGGCCTACTGCATACGTATATACAATTTTTTTTTATTATTCAAACTGTTTAGTCGTGTTGTGTGCTGGTGGCGATTAAACTGTTTGGGCGATATCCATTTACTACTTTTCTCTATCTGGCGGCCGTTCTGCAGTCATATATACTTAATAATTACAACTTCCATGGTTTAGAAGAAAGTACGCGCTTGTGATTTGATTATTTAATTCCAAAGAAAGAAATAGAAAAAGAAGGTATGTCGTTTCACCAACGCTAGTGCACAACAAAACAATCACAGAACGACTGTTTAGACGAACGTATGCGTCTCCTAGTGCATGGTAACAAACATTGAGCTATCGACGCGGTGGCGTCATTTTGTTATGCCATTTTGTCATAATATGCCGACCGACATGCATTCTCATACACTTTTCACAACTACAACTAAACAGGTGTTCGAATAAAAATTGTATGTACGCGCCCAGTGTGAATGACATTGCGTAATCGTGATGTGAATCAAATCAAGTTCTAGTTTACAGCGCTTTAAATTAATTGATCGGTAATTTACGTACCTAATTCATAAATAAAATTGTAATAAGTATGTACTTATATCCATCATGTTTTTTGAATGTGTAAATTGTGTTTAAGAATATCTTTATATATATATATATATATATATATATATATATATATATATATATATATATATATATATATATATATATATATATATAAAATATATAAGATATTCTTAAACACAAATATATATATAAAATTCTGCTGTCCGCGTGTATGTGACTGAACTCCTGTTGTCGGGATTCAGAAATCATTCGTGCGAAGCCGGGGCAGATCGTTAGTATAGTATAAAACTGAAGTGACAAACGAATTTACTGTCTAGCTGATGGTAAGTGGCTAATGCAGTCCATAGGCACATGCAGCTAACATCAAAAAAGAAGGCCACAATTGCGTTGATGAACTGAGGATCTAAACGCTCGTAGGTTCCAAAGTCTCTGCTCGACTAACTGTTGTGATTTTCTTCTAACATAGATATTTTTTCGCTTATTTGAATGATTAACGGATAATTATTTCTTAAATAGTTACCACTAAATGTAAGTTTCACATAATCAAGACGATCTAAACGCGGATCTGAAATTAGAAATTGATAGTGGCAGTTTCAGTTAAAAAAATACAAAATGCATGTTTAACAAGTTTTGCGGTACAGATATTCAAATAAGTTAAATAAAATACATGATAGCGAGAGAAATCGATTGGCCTGTATAATACGGCGGACTCAATGCCTTTTGACATCCTCAGTCAACCCAGGGCGTATAAAAAGCGGAAAAAATCATTAGCAATAAAATGAAGAACACAGCAATAATAATTACTGGCTACCAAATATGTAACTCTAATTTATCTATAGCGAGAGAGGTGTGTCGAGATCATGGCAAATGGAAGTCCGTAATCACTGCGTACCCCTCTGCGTGACAGGCGTGATTGTTTATTTAAGTTAATGTAAGATTACTGGGAAGGAAATTCCCAGCAGTTTTACTAGTAAACCTACTTAGGAAAGGAGCGAGGGAATACCCCCGATTTCATGTATAACTTTGGTTATGTTTTATAAACAGAGGATAAAATTATAAACATCCAGCTGATACCCAGTCGTTTCGCTGGGCGCACGATAATATTTTTTTTGCGGAACCTAGATGTAAAATAACAAGAAATATTTTTTTTGATGGGAATATTATAAAATCCTTGCGTTTACATTGCGAAATGAGTAACCGGGCGTATAGTTTTAGAGATCTCGTGATGAATCAGTCAGTGGTATTTTGCTTTTAAAGAGATATTGTATTACTTAAAATTAGGAAATATTAACGATAATCTGAAAATCAAAACCTTAAACTCAAAACGCAGTTGTCATTTTTTTATTTAATATGCGTTTTATTACAAAGCATGGTTTATTGATAGAGTCGGGCTCAAACTATGGTTTAAGAGGAGTCCTTCTCACGAACGGATTTCTTTAGCCGCGGCACCTTAGTCTTCGCCAAAGTGACATTTGCTGTCAAGTTCCATACTTAACATTTTAGTTTGCATATTTTCCACCGTACTTATTTATTGAATCAGACTCTAGTTTAAAGTTTTAAAATTGAGACTAATTATGAGCTATTTTTGTAACAAGGCGGAATGGTATGCCTTTATAGGTTACATTAAAGCATATGTACAACAAATAATTTATTCAACATCGAATATAATATAAATGTTTATAAAACAATATTGTTACGTCAGACGTCGATGGCAACGGTGTCTGGGATGCGGACGAAGTGAAAGCGCTCTTCATCAAGGAACTGGACAAAGTGTACGGTCCCGGTGGCCCAAACAAGGATTTGCACGAGCGGGCTGAGGAAATGGAACGCATGCGGGAACACGTATTCAAAGAAAACGATCGCAACCGTGATGGGCTCATCGACTTCCACGAGTTCATGATGGAGACACAGAAGGCAGAATTCAATCAGGATGAAGGTAAGAACCCACAGCGGGAAAAGGTGTTCGGTTTTTATAATTAATAGAATCAGGCGTTACTTTGCGGAAATCCATTATATAAAAGCTTTTACAACAATTTACTTCGCAAATATCCGCGTTATAAAATAAAATGATGTGTCTTACCTAGTATGAAGAAACACCTCCCGCCCTCCCTCAATTGCGTGCACTATCCCCGTCACCACTAATCCCAGCACCGCTACTCCCAACACCACTACACTAGGCAAGACACACCACTGACGATAAAAATTAATTTTACAAACGGCTGCGTAAGTCGAGCGGTGATTGGTCGCATGTTTTATCGCATGACGCAGTCGCTCGCTTCTTAGGGAGAGAGCGGTTGCGTCATCGGCTTGTATAAAAGGCACTTGTTTTGGCTCGCCGCTCACTTAGCGGTTAGCCACCGTAGAGTCTATATCACCTGAGGATGCCTCGTGTAGAGGCGAAACACGTGTCGTATTATCGTCAGTGGTGTGTCTTGCCTAGTGTAGTGGTGTTGGGAGTAGCGGTGCTGGGATTAGTGGTGACGGGGATAGTGCACGCAATTGAGGGAGGGCGGGAGGTGTTTCTTCATACTAGGTAAGACACATCATTTTATTTTATAACGCGGATATTTGCGAAGTAAATTGTTGTAAAAGCTTTTATGTTCGGTTTTTAATTAAGAAGTTCGGAATAGCTTAAAGATAATAAGTAAGAATAATTGGATTACGTTTACCGATAACTTCACTCTAAAAATGTCAATAATGTAAATTTTCATTCGCATAACACGCCTCCAAAATAAGATTATTTTTTTTTTGGAAGTACGACAAACTACCTTCATAATATAAACATTATTATGATTTAAATAAATATACATATGAAATTAATGTATTTTTAGTATGGGCAATGCGAAATTGTCAGTTGGTCAGTTCTATTCTTATTCTACGTGCGTAATATTTAGTTAAGAACACGCACTCACATACACGTATGTATGTGTATCTAAAATTATTTGCAACCAATAACATGGTTTAAGGTGCATACGTGTGCCTGTAGTTGTGAACTTTAACGGGCTTATAAAGAAAGAAAGAACAAATGATGTGTGCGTACGTAAGTGCGTGTCAAGAAGTTAAGCATGATTTCGGTATAAATTGAAATGGTCGCGGCGCTCCGTTATGCGATAAGAACGGAAATATATTCGGATCGAATATTCGTTTGCCTTTCTCGTTGTAAAATCCTCATATAATTATTAACCCCTTTTGCTGACAATATAATTTAATATTGTTACTCGTTCAATTTCCTATCATGACAATTAGTTGACCTACTGTCGTAGATAGAGGTATAATGGTGCAATAAGGCTTCTTTGTATAGTACAATATCCATTACAGTCTAAGTTAAAAGCCGTTAGTTAATTATAATACCATGTAGTGGCGGTTTAAGAATACCCTCTACCTAGTGGAGTAGAGTGCCTTAGCGTGCCCTGTATCAAAATTTGTCGGGGGGCCCAAATGAAGGGTAAAGATTTTTCACAAAAGGAACAAAACCTCTCGCGTTGAATTAAAATAATTATATATTGATTATAAGTTATTACTTACAATTAATACTCCTAGGAACTAAGCTAGCTAAACAATTCAAACCAACATCCTGTCCCATAAAAGTCCTTAGAATTTTTGCTTACATACGTTCGGGGCTCCTGTAGCCCGGGAGCCCCGTACATTTGATACGGCTGATACGGCGGTAGCCTCTACCCCATATCGTCCCATGGCTGTCGTAAGAGGCGACAGAGGTAAATTGAAACAGATGATGGGCAGCAGCATCTTCCTGATAACATCTCAAAATAACAAATAACCCGCCTGTCAAGCGTGGCAACTATGACAATATCCCCCCTACGAGGCAATCTATTGGGACGCCAATGTACAGCAGTGGATTTTAGTAGGATGTAGCGGTAACGTTATAAGTTAATTGCGAGTACATCGCGCCAAACATTAATGGAATGTACATAATATTTCTATGAAATTGCTCTTCATTATATTGTATTTAAATTAGCTTATCTGTGAAGAAAAGGACACTGTCATGGTATGTTTCCTCTGCATAAATTCTTATTCTTTCTTATGAGCCGACGGGTAAAAGTCCCCTGCCGGACATGGGACTACCATAACAGTGAGTGTTCGCCGTAATCGTCTCGTTTTGTAGACGGATTGGCGATTGCAAAACGACCTGGCTGTTTTAAATCTAGTAAATATCACGTAATTGACGGTCAAGAAAATAATTGTGACGAAAATACTTAATTGATCAGACATCATTATCATCATCATCAGTATCAGCCTGTCGCAGTCCACTGCCTTATATAGGCCTCTCCCAAGGCACGCCACTTAGCGCGCGGTCTTCGGTAATGAAATGAATCTGATGAATAAGATATTTCGAAACATGTGAAGTCTGCTAACCATTTAAAAAATAGAACAAACCCTTTCAGAGAAGGTCGTGTATAAGCTGTAACATTACTTTTTTACTTTTACCTGCCTCGTAGGTAATTAAACCACCAGGAGACCATAAAATCTTACTGGTACTTCTCACAGTCGCCTCTTACGACAACCTCAGGATCATAAGGGGTGATGAGTTCTTCATCACCACTATCCACTAGAGACTATCCCTTTATGAAATATATTAAAACAAATATTTTTATAAGTAAATAATTAGGCGATTTTTAAATATTATGTCCCTTAAAAACAGTATTAAATAAACTTGAATTAGGTAACAATTTATTTTTTTATTTTAAACTAATTTATCAACTAAAAATTACTAGAAATTAAAAGAGCCTTACATTTATTTCAAGGTTGGAAACCCATTGACGAAAATCAAATTTACTCTCAAGCCGAATACGAGGAATTTGAGAGAAGAAGAATCGAAGAGCTGAGATATTTGCAGCAACGTGGTTTGGTATGTCGATGAATATTTCATACTAGCTGATACCCGCGACTTCGTCCGCGTTGCTCGATATATTAACAAAGTTTTCATATGCGAAGGAAAAAACATCAAAAAGACAATTTTTTTGTAAACAATGTTATTCGTTGCTCAGTTTGTAGCTAAAATATATAAATTAACTGGGTTAGTAACGCGAGAGCAAGCGACGTACAGTTGACCGTGTGAAAAACCCCGTATAAAAATCGTTGTTTCTTAAAACTTTAATAACTTTATAATGAATGAAGATATCGTAGTAATTTTTTTTAGATAAGGGCCAAATATCTAAGACATTTAGAAGTTTTTCCGTAATGCGCGCAAACCTCTTATCATTTTATTTATATAGATTATAGTTATTGATTTGTTTATTTTATAAAGAGGGCGTGCTTACTGCATACACCTCATAAACACCTGCATGTGCATGTGAACACAAAGAAGTAGAACAAACAGGACACGTAGTCGGGCACTATCGAGTTGAACGGAAATAAAAAAATATGACTTCTTTTACTGGTAATAAGGCATTCTATCTTTGTCAGCAGGGTTTACAGCGCATCTATAACATGATTCTTAATCGAAGATGGATGTAGATGTCTTTGGGTCAAACATTCACTTACGATTAGTTGGACTTTTATCCGTTTGTCGCCCTTATTCATTAAAAATCAAATAATTTTAATGTCGCCTCACTCGCAGCATCCTCTCCATTCATCCCATTGTCGCATCGTCCCATTGTCGAGAGGATGTGCTACTATCGTCAAGCATGACGATAGTAGCAATCCTGATGATCCTAGTTTACCTATTGATTCTATTTCCCGTTGCCGGTCGGGTTATTAAAAAGATGGGTTTTGGTGGAGATTATAAGTAAGTAATTTGTGTTTATACTGCCATTTAGAGGGGATCTCAGTGATCTCAGATCAGTCGCCTTTCACCGAGGGGGTGAAATTGGGTGATAAATTCCCTTATGTCGCCGTATTTTGGCACTCATAATTCCTATATTATGTAATGTTTTGGATTGGCCAAGTTCTGTGACTTAGTGAGTATTGTTCAAAAATTATCGCTCTATATTTACCTTAAAATCCTATTGTAACCACTGGAATTAGCTAGATTTTAATCTGGATTGAGATTCGAACATTAAGATTTGATCAGTCTTATAGTATCTAATAGACCAGTTCAAAAATATGTTTCTTAAATATATTCGGTTTAATTTTATCACAATTTCGGTTAGTCGCGGATCTGCCAGCTACTTGGAGGTTTCTCCTCGGGAAAGGATATTGACTCCCCCTCTTCACCGCCTACGTGGCCTTTATCTCAACCTGCGTAATAGCTACGCGAATCCGTTGCAAGGAGGCCATGGGACCACGGAAATTGAGCCCTTGGAAGCATCACATTTTCCGATCCCAGCGGCGGACCTTGTCTTTGGCTTCGTTTCGGTTATCGTAATACCGAGACACCTCACTCCTGGCGACTCGATCGACTCGATTGTTTCGATCAGTTGCTCACATGTTCACGGTCAGCTAGCACTATATATGTAGTTATTTAAGTAGAAATTTGATGGATTCGATGGAGTGAGGATGACTATACAGGTGGCGTAGAACCTTGCTTTGTAGCATTCCTTGGGAAAGGCCTATGGTGAGCAGCGGTCTTGTAAAGATAGATTGAATCATCATCAAATCAGTGAATTAAATACAATCTGTTAATTTACAATAATGGAACCGTAAAATGCTTAGTAAATATATTATATTAAAAACTCTATAATAAAGTGAATGTAACTGTTATTCTTTTAACTAGGTTGACGCCCACGGAAGACCGGTCCCTGGCGCTCAGCATCAGATCCACCAAGCTTACCAACAACAACAGGCTTACCAGCAGCAACAACAGCAAGCGCAGTATCAAGCTCAACAACAAGGGTACCAGGGACAACAGTATTATCAGGGTCATCCACAAGGGCAAGTTCCCCCTAAATTCGCTCCTGGTCAAGCCCCAGAGTATCCGCAACAAGGGTATCAAGCGCAATATCAACCCGGTCAAGCACCACAACAACAGTACCAACAGCCGCAACAATTTCAAGGTCAACCTCAAGGAAACTTCCAAGGTCAGCCACAAGGACAGGTTCAAGGTCAACAGCCCCAAGGGCAGTTCCAAGGGCAACAACCGCTAGTACAACAGCCTCTACAACCAATTCAAAATCAACAACAAGCGCAGAACATAAATCAGCAGCAAACCCAACAAGGACAAGCCCAGGGTCAACGCAATGATTTACCTGTTCTAGGCCAATCCACGCCAGTACAAGGTCAAGCCGGCCAAGCACAGCCCAGTGTAGTGCAAGGTCAGCCTCCACAAGGCCAAGGTCAAAGTCAAGGCCAAGCTCCACCTGTTCAAGCACAAAACCCATCGCAGTAACGCGGTAAACACGAATTATATGGCATGCTACGATAAAGCCTATTTATTGTTTTTAACGTTGCTTATATCTAGAAATGGTGCCAAATTTGTCTTGCTCTCACCATACATTACTCATTGTGTTAAAAATTATTGTGTATATTATTTAGTATATTTTACTAAGCTTATGGAGATTTGTTAGAAGTATTTAATATAATTTTCTGAATTGGCAAAGGTGGTTTTTATTTCATAATTTTTCGCAGCAAAATTATTTTTATATATTTTTTCTTATAAGTGAAATGACAAAAAATCCTGCGGTCTCCGATAGATGGCGTTAATAACTATCTCATTTACGCCAGAAATAAAGTAGGTACCTTCACCGACAGCGTGAAAGGTGACAGCGAGATATGTTGTATTGTAATCGTTAATCCGCTTCTCAAGCGTGATGGTAAAAGCAAATAATCCCTACAAAGGGTTTGGCCAATGTTTAGCGGTGACCTTTTACTAGTTACATGATGATGATGATGATGATGATAATTTTTTATTGCCGCAATCGGTATATGAGTATAATACCGACAATATACAAGGCACTAATAAAATATTTAAGATTATAAATGTAATTCAATTGTACGATTTTCCAAGTACAATATTTTCTTGCTAGAACATTTTATGTAATTTTAGGCAGCATGTACATGAACATGCTGTTCATCATGAATACGCGCAATGTACTTTCTAATGGAATGGACTGCACGCTTGATTTTGTATGAACAACTATGCATTAGAAACATACTAAAGGCAGAGACAGTCTGGTCCCACGTACGCAACATATGCAACGCATTATGACATCTGAACCCGATTTTGTATGAAAAACTATGCATTTGTGGCGGCGCTGTCGCCGCGCCACAAGCGAAACACATCGAAGCCTAAATCGAGCTATCAAAGTTCCGAAATTAAAGCAGTATATATAGAATAACTCCGAACTACCACACGGAGCGTTCGCCGCTTCCCGGGGGAGATCTCCCCTTCTCCTTCCACCGGCCACAGTGGTGACCCCGACGTGATTTGAACACGCAACCAATAACCTTCGGAAAATACAATTTCAAAAACATTCGTCATTGTCCTAAAGTACAACAACTGACAAAAATGAGATCGAGCGATACCAGGGCTCCAGTCTTTGCTAGAGATCTGTCTGCCAGAAAGAGACAACTGTAGAAGCTGAAGACCGAGTGTGGCAGCGTCATTTCCGGGACACCTGAGATTTTGAGTGAGATTGAGAGGTTCTATGGGCAGCTTCTGTTCTTGGAGCCACACGCAAGTGTGAGTAACGACCCAAGAGTAAGTCTTATCCGACACTATTCCGATGATAATCCGGACGTCAATCTGAGCGAGATTAGAATGGCTCTCCACCACCTTAAAAAAAGCTTGGCCCACGGCGGGGATGGAATTACAGCGGAGCTTCTGAAAGCCGGTAGAAAACCGGTACTTGAAGTCCTGCAGAAGCTCTTTAATTCCGTACTCTATAGTGGCACTACACCGGAGGCGTGCGATTTTCCTACGATATAGTCCTTATGGCAGAATCGCTGGTGGACCTAAACACTATGCTCAATGACCTCAATAGTGCCTCCCAACGGATAGGTCTTAAGATGAACATGGACAAAACAAAGATCATGTATAACGTCCATGTCACACCTATGCCGGTAGTTGTTGGGAGCACTAAGCTCGAAGTTGTTGACGAGTGTGTTTACCTGGGACAAATAGTCCGACTAGGGAAGTCCAACTTCGACCGAGAGGTCAATCGACGGATTCAACTCGGCTGGGCAGCGTTCGGGAAATTACGGCGCATCTTCTTGTCCGGTATACCTCACAACTTGAAAACGAGACTGTACAACCAGTGCGTGTTGTCAGTGATGTGACCTATAGAACTGAGACGTGGTCCTTCACTGCTGGCCGGATGAGGAAGCTCAAGGTCATTCAGCGAGTTATGGAGATGTCTATGCTCGGAGTTTCTCTGCGTGATAAACTTAGAAATGGGGATATCCGCAGTAGAACCTGAGTGACCGACATAGCCCAACGGATTAGTAAGCTGAAGTGGCAATGGGCCAGCCATATTTTTTTATTCTTTTTTATTTTTCTATTTAAATAAATACTATCAAACATTACTAATTTCTGGTGAGCTTAAAATACTTGTGTTAGAAGTGGTTCACGACACTAGTAGAATGGCGGATTCGAACCCACGACCTTTCGAGTTCGCAGTCCGCGCCCTGAAATTAGGGATCATGTATACTGACGCTTCGAATAATATAAATATAGCTCGAAGAAGCGACAACCGATGGGGAAAAAACATTCTCGAGTGGCAGCCTCGTACTGGCGGACGAAGTGTAGGGCGTCCCCTACTAGATGGAGTGACGACCTGGTAAGACATGCAGGAAGCCGATGGATTCAGGTGGCTCAGGACCGTCCTTTGTGGCATTCCTTGGGAGAGGCCTATGTTCAACAGTGTGAAGGGCTGTAATGATGAATGATGAACGTTAGAAGTATACACCAACGTAGTAGCGTTACATCGCACACGTTGCGTACGTGGAACTAGTCCTTCTCTCCTATTACCGATGCTAGGTTCTGTTAGTTTTTTTTTATAGGATAGGGTGACAAAAGAGCACACAGTCCACCTGATGGTAAGTGGTTGCTGTGGCCCATAGACATCTACATTTATCCTCGTTTGCGAATCAAAATGCAGATGCGTTGTCACCCGTGAGGACTAAGATAGAATACTTCTTTTCCAGTAAAAAGGGTCTTCGGTTCTCTACACTCACCATACGAAACGCAGCAGCATGAAGCTGCTATTTGACGCTGGTATTCTGTGAGAGCGTGGTCCTTCCCCGGTCGAGCCGACCCATTCGTGCTACAACTATACTAATAATATAGCTGCAGCATGGCTCTACCACTTAAATAAAACAAATATAATAATAATAATGTAACATGCAATTTAAAAAATATGGTCGTGTTTTCTGAAGTAAAGCTATTTCTATATGTTTGAATACTGATTCCAATAATGCACTTAACGGGAATACAACGCTTTTATTTCAAGTTGCATAATAAATATTTTTAATGAAAATTTTTACGCAACAATGCTTCTTTCCACATTGATTCAGCTTGCTTTGATTAGGCATCCATGCAAAAATGTACCTATTGATTAGACTTATTATAGGACGTTAATTAAAATGAACGCTTGATAACTTCTGCTTTCGTAAACGAGTATATCATGACTTATCTTGCAGTTGATCAGCCGCGAGTATAAAATGACTAAAGTAAATGAGATGTGAGGTATGTCATTCGTTACAGTTATTATAAAGAGGATAAAAACTTTTCCTTTAACGCCTGTTGCAGTATGTATGTAGGTAGCATATGATAACATCTCTGAGGCTGAAATAATGCGATAAAATCCTAATGTTTTAATTTTATTTATGACAGTCCCAGTCTTGACTCTCGACTAGTATATCTGTGGCTGGAAGCGTTAATCTATAGATATGCGAAACGCTGATAAATGTGATTTGATGCTTATACCACTTAAACTTCGCGTAACAATAACTTAGCCTTTTTGTTTTCTCTTCTCCCATGTTATAAGGTCATTAAAAATTCTACCAGGTTACAACAGAATTTCTACTGCAGAAGTTTATACAAACGGTAGTTATTTTTAAAAAGAATGAGGTTTTCAATTCGAGTGTAGGTTTTTTTGTATGTATGCTACGCGATGTCTTCGCAGGTTATGAACTAATTTTGATGATTCTTTATTTGTTAAATAGGTTATACTTCAAGAGTGGTCCCATATAAATTCGGATAAATAAAATCCACCCCTAATGGATAGCAAATAAATAACTTCTTTTGTAGCAATTTGAAGTCGGTGTTTACTTTTTGTTAAAAGTTATTTATTTGTTGCATATTGTTTATTACGTCATAATACTAGAGATGGTAGTAAAAAATTTAAGAATATTAATATAATTCCAAGTATATTTTTTATATGAGAGGGGGCAATAGAGCATGTGGCTCACCTGATGGTTAGTGACTATCGCCGCCCAAGAACAACAGCAACAACAGGGAAATTGCAGATGCGTTGCCGGCCTTTTTAAAAGGAGTAGAAAGGCTAGGCTCTTTTATTGAAGGTCCCTAAGTCGTATCGGTCCGGAAAAATCGCTGGTGGTAATCGATTCCACAAGGAAGTTGTGCGATGAAGAAAACTTCTAAATTTCAGTGCTGGACCGCCAATCATCCAGATGATATGGATGGTATCGCGAGTTTTGTCGCGATGTGCAATGGTGAAATTGAGCGGCTGGAATTAGTCCGAACAATTCCTTAGAGCACTCCCCGTGATAGATGCGATAAAATACGCAAAGAGATGCAACATCTCTTCCCAGCGCCAGTCAATCGCGCCGATCGGAAAGGACTCGGTCGTCGACGATTCGAGTCGCTCTGCGCTGGATGCGGTCAAGTGGAAGGAGCTGGCACTGGGTAGCCCCAGCCCAGGGAGGGGAACTGTATTCCATTTGAGGCTAAACCTGCGCCTTGTAAAGTTGCAAGCGTTGTTGTTTTTCTTGTTATTAAAATATGGTACATAATTGTTTCACATATACTATAGGTATAGTTCATTTTAGTGTTAGTACTACAAACAGCATAGGAAATATATTAGTAAAGGAATCCGAGCTAATGACGATTATAATAATAGTTATTACGAAATTACAGTTTTAATGTATTGGCTATTGAATGATAGCCATCTTAGAATTCTAAGGTTGGTCACAATTGTTTTAAATCGAATTTTATGTATTCTACATAAAACATTGACTACTGATTCACTATTAGTCGTATTAACAGTAACGATTGTAGTAGGTATGTATCGATACGAAAAGGTCCGATAACGTCATTTAGCGGTACAAAAGTATCCGATACGTCATATTATGTAATTAGAGTAGCCATTAGAAAATCTCGTCCAAGATACGTGTGGTGGGGAGGGTGTCGTAGAATTACGAATTATACGAAAGGCTTTCCTTACTAAACGGTTACCGTTTCTATATAAATCCGTCTTATTTAACTGATCTGATAGGCGTTATCGTGATTTGAAACTCGATGAAACGAAAAAGCAACACTAAGGCGAGACAAACATATACATCTATAAGATTTAGTCTGCGGGACAATGAGATAGAATACAGTATACAACTTTTCCTATTACCCAGGTCTCAGTC